GCAGATAGCCCTCGTGCAGCTTTGCGCGAAATCAAAAAACTTACCAATAATATTACTAATTTTCAAGTGAGAATAAATTTTTTCTGATCATCTTCCTGTTTGCTTTTGAAGAGGTACTCACTTAACATACAAAATGTACGAAGTTTTGAGACAGCTATTTGTTGGATAATAAATTTACCTGTACAATGTTTCGTCTCTAATAGTGAGACATATGGTTTTGTGTATGTATTTATGTATATATTTAAATTGTTTTAGTTATTTCAAATACTTCCCTTAACGTTTGTCGTTTTAATTATCTTATTCTTAATCGTTTTATTCATTTTACACCTAACTTTTTGTTTTGTGATTTTAAATTTCTTTGAATCTACTTAATAGCTTAATTATTTAAAACTTCGTTTGAAATATGTTAAATTTAATTTTATCATTTTATTAATTTTTAATTTTATTTTCTGTGTATTTTTAGAGTTAGTTATCAATTCTTTCTTAGTCTAGGGGTTAAGGCTTATAAAACAGTTATTGACTTTACGGCTTTTCTCTGCGTTCTTATGGTATTTATCAAGATGTTGGAACTGTTATTCCAATATGATGCCCGCACCCCAGTGGCACAGCGGTATGTCTGCGGACTTACAACGCTAGAAACCGGGTTTCGATACCCGTGGTAGACAGAGCACAGATAGCCCATTGTGTAGCTTTGTGCTTAACTACAAACAAATATGATGCCCACTGACAAGTATGTAATAATTTTATATTTAATGGATTGTTTCAATTAGGCAGAACACCATTTGTTCACCATAGAGATAATCCATAATTATTTCAACAAGAAAATGAGTGTTGAAAAAACGTAGTTATTTTCGATTTGTTTACTTAGGTTGAAAGGACGACTGCCCGAATCTCCCTCACACCAAAATATTTCTCGTAAACAGACATAAACTTGCAACAAAGATATCACGAGGAAAGGAAATTGTGGACATCTAAAGAAGAATGATTAGTAGATGCAGCATTGATAGGATACATGTCCGATACATTTCAGTTCACCTGTTAATACTCAAATTCACCATGGTAAGGCGTTGAATAGACGGAAGACCACGTTATACGCTAATGGAGATTATTTGCCCAGTTGCCCAAGGTTACCCTTTTGAAATTAAATTAAGAACTTGGCCAAAAACTCAATCATTCTGGACATTAATAATAACTAACTTTGGAATGCAAGCTAGCACACTTACGGTGCACTAGGCTTCATGCTGTTGAATTTTCATGGATATGCTGAAACCCATCAGTCATAATCCTACTCAATCATTGCTTTGGATGGATGGGTCTAGGTTTAACGGTAACCTGAAGGACATTTCAATTAATACTCTGTAATCTCAACCTATGTTGTGGTGTGGACCTGTTTTAGTTGGTTTAAGACTAAGACCACTAATAATAATTAGAGTATCCTTGAATTTCATGACACAATGTTACATTGTGGAAAATGTTGTACTACTCGCAGTAATAGAAGTCTATTAGAAGTAACAAATGTTTTTCAGCATAGCATGCAATACCACCTACCTTGTCTAGCAGAGGTTAAAGACAAATAGCATCAAGAATATACCCTAACCAACTCAGGTCCCTGACATGAATTCAACTGAACTGTTCTCATAGCAACTAGAACTACTTTTTATCAAGAGTGGCGGTCTATACCACCAGATGTGTTGCCAAATGCTACTAACAGAGCCAAAGCTGTGATGAGTGTCAAAGATGGAATCACAAACAATTAAAATTAGGATTCGTCGGAGAAAACAACTTCCTCCTTCTCAAGGTTTACTGTCTGGCTTTCTGTGATATAGTTTATTGTACAACGGGGTTTTCTTCACACACACACAATATAGGTGAAAGCTTTTGATCTTTGGTGCACAATAATTTATATCTCAGGTTTTAGTTTATACATTTTTCTTTCGCGGAACCGACAGCGGGCAATTTGTTTTGTTTTTTATACTAATAATACTTCTACTGCTACGTGTTTTTTTTTTCATGTTTGCCCGTCTTTCCACATATGTGACAGAACAACTTTATTTTGCTATTACAAGAATCTGGTCATATCCCTGTTGCAATGTTATTACAGCATCGATGATCAAAAGTGTCAATGCTAGGTAGAATCTCGTTCAAATACACAGGAAACACACACATGCATGACTTGTCATCCGAGGAGGGTGTGCTTTGGATGTCACAACAACTCTGATATCGTAACAAGAAGGTCATGTGTGATATTTTGATATGAGCTGCATAATATTCGAAAGCCATTGCTCCTAGAAAAAATGTGCATTTTATCTGATTTTGTCGTGCTTTGAAATTGATAGAATTAAAAAAAAAAGACAAACAGTATTAATTCTAAACTATATAGTATTCGATGATCAATACCACACACATAAATAATAACAGAAAATTAATTCCCACACCTTAAGATATTAGATCCATATTATATGTGTGTGTGTGTATATATATATAAATAATGTTTAAACAAATTTCGTTAAGGTAAAAAAAAATACAGTAGACTTTAGTTTAAGGCAATTTCAGTGATAAAAACTCGCTTTGAAATTTATATTTTTAGTGAAGCGTTTTTCCTAGCAACGGTATGCGAACCGTAAATCCTCGGATTCATAATCTGGATACAGTAACCACTACGCCACGCTCAGCCTTACGTATTTCTTATTTTTTTTTACCAGTAAGCATATTCTAAATGCGTTTCCAACAATTCGAATTCAACATGAGTAATGATAAGTAGCTAATAAGAATTTTTGCCAAGATAAGTTTCTTGAAACTCTTCTAGTTGCTGTTATTAAAATAAAAATACTGTTCCCTTTGTAAAGTACATTATATGTACATTGTATATAAAACCCCCACGTTATTTAAATATCACAGTTTCTAGAAAAGTGACCGATTGGATAAGACTGCATGCACTATAAACAGTTTTATGTATCAAGGATTACCTTATCCCAATTTTAGAGATACAGAACATTTGACGGTCTGATTAAAACATTTCGGTGTTTTTTTCTTAACTCTTTGCTATCACGATGTCTTTATTTAAAGCCAGATTTACACGTACCAAAGATGATTTGTTCTAAATTTTCACGTCTCGAAGAGCTTATATTTTTGCTTTCTTTTGTGCGTGTGTATGTTTAACATGGCTTGTGGTTCTAAGCTATATTGTAGTTATGCTTCTTAATAATAATATAACAGCCAACGTATTATTTGTTCTCAAAATCATAGATCGATGTAAAATTAAATCTGTTTCGAAATATTTCTTGGTTAGAAGTAACATTTTATTCATTTTGCAGATAATACAAATAAAAGAACGAGAAACTAGATATTTAAGCAGTTGTTAATCCCGATCAAATTATTTGTACCTCTATACTTCACTAATACCGTACCTGTAGCAACCTGACCCAGGTCATCCACATTTTAATCTCTAGAACTCTCAAAGTGCCATCGTTTTATAGGCTTGGCGTGGACAGAAACATTCAAATATGCACACATAATTAAGATATATAACTGAATGCATAAAGTAAGATACAAAGCAAGAAAAAATGAAATTATAATACACAATTTAATGTCATGTAATTGCTGTTGTCTATTCCAATGGTAAATATTGCAACTGAACACAAAGTACGCATTTATAATGTCAGCAATTCTGCTGTTTAATTTCTGTTATTTAACAGAAAAACAAAATCAGTTCCGAAGTTCACGCACAATATTGCGACATCTGACAAGTATCTTAAAATATTATTCCCTCACTTCTCTTCCCCCCCCCCTCCCTTAGTGGCACAGCGGTATGTCTGCGGACTTACAACGCTAGGGACCGGGTTTCGATACCCGTGGTGGGCAGAGCACATATAGCTCTTTGTATAGCTTTGTGCTCAACTCCAAACAAACAAACAAATAAACTCACCTCTCCCACAAGATGAAACCATTGTCGTCAATTGTTGGGATGGTATGATTCGGGTTGATCTATATAGGAATTGGGACAATACAAGAAAAAATGCTTAAAAATAAAAATCAATATAAAAGTTAAACAAGAAAAATTAGAAATGTTTAGCTGTTTTTTTATGTTTCTTCATTCAAACAATAATATTATACCCACTTTTAGAAACTCTGGTTTCAAGTGTTCAAATACTTTTATCAGAACCTTTTCAATTGAACTATTGTAGAGTTTAAAACACTTGCTTGAAAATGACAACCAAATCAATAGATTTCTACTATTTGCCGATCAGTCCTCCATGCCGAGCGGTAGAGATGGTCGCCAAACACTTGAACGTTTCTTTGAACAAGAAGTTGGTAAATATAATGGCTGGGTTGATTGCTTTTCAAAAACGCCTTAACAAACTCTGGATTTTTGATGTCCTGCTGACAGATGATAAAATATAATATTGAACTATCTGTTGTGTTGCAAGTATATCTGAAGGATTTGTGGTCCAACAAAATACACTTGTGAATGCTGGAAAAAAGTGTGACCTATATTTGAGCTTCCTCGCGCATACTCCGGACATTACGAAAGTTGCCCTGTTATTTTGTTGTTGTTTTCCTAAGCCACGTGGCAAAGAGTTTGCGGATGAGAGAACATAAGTACAGAAACTTATCATTTTCCAAGAAAATTCTTCACGCCCTTGTAATTTGTTGATCTTACTTAAAGATCCATACATGTACTTATCCGTTTCATAATTCTGATACCAATGATTAAAATATTGTCAGGTATTTTCTGAAGTGTATTATTTTCTTTTTAAGTAACAACTATCATTTTCAAGTAAAGTGAAGCCACAATTGTTCCGAAGAAAGAAAACATTTATACAGTGAAGTGCGATTAATACACACAATGAACTTCGAACCAGATGAAAGCCAACTAAATAGATGGTTCAAGGCGAATTTCTTTATATTTATGTACTTACTGTTCTAAGTTGTTCCAGCCTTCTTGGAGACCACTTTACTTATTCTGTAAGCCATTGTATGTAATATTAAAATGTGTTTTATTATCAAATTATGGAAAACAATTTCACAGTTCTGTCACTGAATAATTTTGTTTACCACTTTTGAAAAATAAAATATGAAATTATTGTTAGAGAGTAGTTTTAGGTAGCGCACTCGTATGCCGAATGAAATGTACTTAAAAAGCTACCTCCAATACTTAAATTATGGGCCTATTTATTAGCATACTGGGATATGTTCGGAAGGTCCAAGGTGTGAGCTGGGGTAGTACTATTATAACTGTGACAATAAATCACATTATTTGGTTTTAAGATTAGCCGCTTAGGCATCTTGTGCCATTGGTTGTCTTTTCTTTGGTCAACATTTTTAAATTACGGTTGAACCTCGTGTCCCAGCTGTGTCATAAGGTTCCATTTATGTTAAAAATACCAAATAACCAATTCCATAATACAGAAACAAACTGATAAATGCGCTGCATGAGTTTAAATATTATTACATAAATGTTGGTTTAAAGAAATATACAAATATATTTAAATGGCTCTGCCATATCCCAAAAATCAGTTCCAAACTACTAATAATATAGAGGTATAACGCTTAATTTATACCATTTATGTGTTTTTTACCTTATTATATATATATATATATATTGTGTCTGTGGGGATAATTTTGGAGTGTTTCAAAATCTATTCTCAAAACACAACTATGTGGAATATTCTAAGGCTTTTTGTTAAGACTTAGAAATATTTTTTTAAAGTATTTTATAGCTACACTCGTTGTATCTATGTAAATTTTATCTGAAGATCAAGACCAAAACAACCTGCACGACACAGTGTGTGTTATTAACATGCGTGATAGTTTATTAGCGATATTCCACTTTCTATAGCTCGGACTGTGTTAATCCAAACTAGCACGTATTTCCAATGGATATGCTCTACTGGATCCTTACTTCACATACCAAATTTCAAGGCAATCCATCAAGAAATACATGAGATATGAATTTCCAATTTTGATTGAGTTTCTTCCTATTTTTTTCTTCGCACCGAAGGTACGGAAACTTGATTTGAGAGAAAAACATATTTATATTTTATGGATTTCTTCCAAATTTGGTACATTGATATATATATTTAAAATTTACAATTAAGTAGCACAATACAGCTTACGTGTCACAAGTCGAAAGGAGCGTAGTATCTAGGCGATCAACACTGAAAATCAAGTACAAATTTAAAATTTCTTAAATCTTATTTATTTATTACTTAATAATTCACTTGCTTTAAGTTCAATTATCGTTAACTTCCGATCCAAGCAATTAAGCTACCTAAAGAGCTTAGAACTAATATAATTAACAGAGTAAATAATGTAGCTAATTTAATACAACAGTCTAACCAGGCGTGTGATCCTCCCAGTGGGTCAGCGGTAGGTTTACGGACTTACAACGCTAAAATCCAGGGTTTGATTCCCCCCGAGTTTGACACATCAGATAGCCTAATGTGGGTTTTCTCAAACCAAACAAGTCAATATAAAAAAGGACAAATCTTATAATGAGTACAATTTATTAGCTCATCCTTTGGATGCCCTCACTGTTTCAATATTTTCGGCCATAATCCCAATAGTGTCTGACGGGGATCTTTCCCCCTCGGCAGGTTTAATTTAATCCTCTGTTGATATGATAATTTACAAATTCGGGATAGTTATCGTGTTCTGTATATATAATAAATTTAAAATAGAAAAAGAAACTTATTATATGTACATATACATTAAACAATTAACCAATAGCATATAAGAACTTTTATTTTTGTTTCATGCGGTTTCACTATTTCCTGTTCCTTGAAAAGCATGACACCATTATACGCAAAACTGCATTATAATCTACCCTAACAAAAACCTAATGACCAATGGAAACCCAGCTTTAACAGTTTAACATGTGCGCATGACATATATTGTTGAGATAGAGTCATGTAGCGGCACATTACAAATAATACAGTAAAGAAACGTTTATATAAATAAATAATAATAAATTTAATGAACAACTGAACTGTGCAATAAATACTAAAAATATTATTACTCTTATTAAAAATAGCCATGGTAGACGCAATAAAAAGAAAAACAAGTTACTGAACATACTATATTGCTGTGTCAATACACAACTAATTTGACTTTAAGGCCACACCTAGTTTTATAAAGAAAGTCAATTTACAGAGTAAGCAGCCAAAAGTTATAAATAAAGTAGTTATACCTTAAGAAACTAGCCGGATGCATAAGCGATAATAAGATATGAGAAATATCACAGTAATATCAAGACTTAAACGATGAAGTAACAACAATGGAAAAAATAGCAACTAAAGTAACCAACAGTAACTAAAGTTACGGTTTAAACACCGAAAGCTGGCAAAGCATTAGGCCTATCATTTATGATAAAAATAATGTAAAATGCATTTTTTTCTAATTATTCCTCCTAATTTGTCTATTCTAATTCCAAATTAAAGATGCGTTAAAATAACATTCCACATCTACCTTTTGTTTCCCATAAATCGTTGCCCAAGAGGCCTTTCGTATAATTCTAGAGCTCGTCAGATAGGACAAAAGGTGATAGACCAAATATTTTATTTTACTTTATTTCGTTTCAGTCCCTAAAACGAACTGGCGTGTCGCTTTGTTTGTTTGTTTGAAGTTAAGCACAAAGTTATACAATGGGCTATCTGTGCTCTGCTCACTGCGGGTATCGAAACCAGGTTTCTAGCGTTGTAAGTCCGCAGACATACCGCTGTGCCACTGGGGGCTGGCGTGTCGCAGAAGGGTGTGTTGGTTAAAAGATGAATTGCAGAAACTTGACAGTGATTGATTTATAATATCATATTTATAAAATAAAAATGTGGAATATAATATCCGTTGGCCAACATAATCAGTTGAAACACACTACTGAGTCATTGTGTTGGATAATATAGTAAGGTAAATTGGTAATTTGTGCGACATCATGATCAGTGACGGGCAGAGACATCAAGTACATATTTAGAGTGTGATTAAGTGGTAGAAGCAGCTTCCTTGGAGGATGAACTTGTTTGCTGAGTAAGTGGTCAATAAGAACATTTTGGGTTTTAAAACCCCGAGGTGATACATCGTGATATCGTGCTCACGGCTGGAAAAGATGTTTGGCAATGGTGGGAAGATGACACAGTCATACAGTTCACCAGTAGGATTAGGTAACCAGATGTGAAACACGAGACGAATAGCATGACATTTCAGGCCTTATAAAGTAACGCTAAATAATTGAACAGTAGAGGAAAAATGAGCGGGAAGTTGATTGGTATGAACATTAATAATTTCAGCATTATGACATGGTCTAAACGTTTTTTCGAGTTGGACCAAATAAGATTAGTTTGATCTTGGTAGCATTGATGGTTAAACGCCATTGACGACACCATGTAAGAAGATGGCTGATGGCGAGTTGTGAAGACTTGCTTGTAGTGATCATAGTTGGGCAATATGTAACAAAGGCAATGTCATCAGAATATTGGAAAACATTAATATTTGCGTGTTGCGGTATATCCACTATAGTATGTAAATAAGTGGTAAGTATTCTGATCCTTGTGAGTCACTCGCTGAAATATCATATACTAAAAAGGATACCTTCTAAAGCCAATACACCCCGTCGTCCCCGAATAAAGGAATTGATACTCTTGAAATAACTTAATGGAAGGGACAAAATCAAAGAAACATCATACAGGATGGTCGGTTTGTACTGAAGTGATTAGTTATTGTGTAGGAAAACCTGAGTTATTGATCAAGCATTTAAAGAAAAAGTCGAAAGACTGGTTGGCTGCGTGGTAAAAGTAGATGTTCGGAAACTTTGTTTTTAAAGCAAAAACACATTGGACCATCTGCTAAGTCCACAGCGAGGAATCGAATCCCGAATCTTAGCGTTGTAAGTCTGTAAACTTACCGCAGTACCACCGGGAGACAAAACGATATAGTTAAGTGACAACAATGCCCTCAAAGATCTTATTGAAAACATTGGTGAGGTTAATAGAGCGGTAAGAATTAACAACAGTAGGATCTTTATTAGGCTTCAAAAATACTAAAATAATAGAATTTGTAAGACAGTGGATAATTACTAACATGGAAGATCACATTGTAAAATTTAACCAGTAAAAGAAAAAAACTTTGTAATGCCTACTTTATATAAAGGTATTTGATACCAGCTTGCCCCGAACAATGTTACACTTACCTGTAATCGCAAGTTGAATATCAGATACTGTTGTACAGACATTCTAATAACTGGCACTTAGTTTATGATGCAAGTGCGAAAGTAGGTCAGATAGAGGGGATTCAGTAAAATTGGATTCATCAATAGTGGGTGTAGGGTCTGGGACACGAAAAACTCTTTCATTATATGTTGCAAAAAAAAAAGATCAGATTTTTGAAGCCAGGATAAAATAATTCTTTAGAATTGGGTACTTTGGAAGCCTCCAATCGTGAGACGAAATCTACGTCAAAACTGAGAGACACTGTATGCACTCTGAAGTGTTTACTTGCAAGTCTCCATTGTAACCGCAATAGAATTGCATGCTGTTTTTTGAATGTAAGTACAAACCAAACCTTTATATTAGGGAGATATCGCAAATCGAATCGGTGTATATAAGTGTTTTCATGCAAGTCTCCACTGTAACCGCAATAAAATTGCATGCTGTTCTTTGAATGTAAGTACAAACCAAACCTTTATATTAGTGAGATATCGAAAATCGAAACGGTGTATTTAAGTGTTTTACACTCACAAAAAAGAAACCTATCATTCTATTGGTATTTGAAGAACTTGTAGCATTCCGCTACAACTTAATTCTTCGTATTGTTAGCCGACACTGGGCAGCTGTAGTACATAATTGAATATAGTTGTTTAAACATTTGTTTAACAACAAGTAAAAGCTCGGAATGGTCTATTGTTTCTCTGGAGGTGTGTGTGTCTGGGAGCCAGACTAGTTTCGGAGAATTCCACTCCTCATCCAACTCCTTTTACTTGTTGTTAAACAAATGTTTAAAGAACTCTATTTAAAAGAGTATATATTTGTAAATTGTCGTGCATATTTCATAAAGCGAAAGAGGGCTTTAACAAATAAACTGAAATTTTAATAAGTCGAAGGACAGAACAAGTATTTTTCTCAGCCAACTCGTCAATATAGAAATAGTAGTGATGTTTATAAACCAACTCGTCAATTTAGAAATAGTAGTGATGTTTATAAACCGATTTGAGATCTAATAACAGTTTTGGACTCAAGAGGTCAAACCCTTTTGATTGATGTATTTGACCACGCACAAGATCTCATAGATTAATTTACTCTAATCCTGTCTAAATGATTTTAATTTGAGGGTAGCCTGGTAGAGATCCTGATGAATAATAAAATCAAATCAGGTATACGCGCACCCCACGCTTGGTATTGCTGGTGCACAAAAATATAGCTAATAGAAAGGGAATCAAAGGTTTCATAGATTAATTTACTCTAATCCTGCCTAAAATAATTTTAAGTGCCATGGCCACTGAGGATTCCCTCCTGTTGTATGACTGCGTCATAAGTAACATTCCCCTTTGATCCAAATTGGCATTGCTTCAATCACATGGTCACGACAAATTTTTGGACTTAGAACACTGAAATACCCGTAATGAACAACAGCGTCATAACTCATTTTGTAGCTTTGAGCTAAAAAACGCAACAATAAAAATTGTATATACAAAAGGTGTTTGTGAATAGTTATATATTCAAAACTTCCTATCCTTCTCCCAGGGATGACAAATAAAGAACACAGGAAATACTTCACACACACACACGTCGTCAAATTGCACTCTGTCCATAAAGAATCAAGCTTTAAGTCCCAGTAATGTAAATATATATATATACATAACGTTTGTTAACTATCAAGTATTTCCCAGCAGTATCAGAGTAAATTAATCAAGAAAAACCTTTCCTTGAAGTTCACTGCATTCAGAAAAGTCTTACCATTAAATCGCCATTTTTATTACAAAGGCTTTGGGGGGCTATTGCAAAGCCATTATTTGTAAATCTCACCAATAATAAAAAAATTATGATATTATTATTATTGTTTGTTTGTAGCTAAGAACAAAGCTACACAATGGACTAGCTGTGGTTTTCCCACCACTGGAATCAAAACGCGATTTATAGCGTTTAAGTCCGTAGACATATCGCTGCGCAACTGGGGGAGGGGGGAATGATATTATTAACGAGGGCGTAAAAGGCGGGGATTTTTTTCATCCATCCATTTAACTGATGGCTCAGCGACAAGTCGTAGGGCTTATAACGCTGAAAATTTGGTGTCGATACTCTCGATAGAGAGAGCACAGATAGCCCATTGTATAGCTTTGTGCTAACAGCAAAAAAAGCAAATAAAACTACTGAAACTTCTGAGCATTTATCGAAAATTAATTTGGTTTGACTGCAGTTGACTCTGGGATCTAGTGGTTACTTGAGATTCCCCTTTGCATTATCATTATTCTGAAAACAAAAGGTACTGAAGCTTCTTAGTTATGTTTATAGTGATGGAAGTTACTAGTCTCATGTGCCATTCCAATGAATTAAAACATTTACAAATTGAACTTGTTGCTAACACCACTTTTTGTGTATGAAGCTAGGCTGTTAGAATCTAACTGCTAACTTAAGAGGAAACAATTTGCCTTCGTACGTGTTCAGTTGGCAAAAAGAAAACGGATAAGTTGTTTTAGCTATTTATTTGCATATTGTTTAGAGTATTTTTTAATCAAGCCTGATATTAATTATCACAATTGATAAAAGAATATTTATTTTTATCTCAGATTTTCTAGAGGTCATTAAAAAATGCTATTAAATCTGCTTTCAAAGAAGGTTCTCCATTCTTCTTTAATGTATAGGAATTCTCCTATCCCTTTTCTGCACCAGTATCACTTTACTTCTCGTCTTGCAGTCATCATTGCGTCCCTGACAATTTGGTCTGATATTTTATAGAATATTCATCAACTATCACTCTGATATATGACTAAAATTTGGCGTGATAAGTTCGTTTTGTTCAAGCGAAAATTTATTTGTAAAAGGTTTACATGTATTTCGATTAAGAAAGACAAACCAGTGAAAGCTGTATCCACAACTACCATGCTACCAAAACCACAAACATGATTAAAATTGCTAATAAAAAGATCAGAATGTCCTACAATACTCCATTTGCTAAATATTCTTACAAATCGGGTATGTGACATAAAAAATTGTCAATAATTGATGTTCTATTTTTTTAAAAATACTCATACACACTATCTAAATATGGTCGAAAAAAATCATAACATTCAAAATAATTACTATAAAAACACTAGAAACAGGCCATTAAAGTGTATGTAAAAATGCATTACCCGAAGAAAAGATTTCTAATTTTGTTTCATTTGTTTATATCTTTATTACAACTGTTTAAAAGCTTTATTTTCCTACCTAAGGAGGGCGCTTCCTTTTTATCTACTGCGAACTGGAATCTCTATATTCAGTATTTATTGGCTATGAATCAGTTCCATTTAATATGTATATAACAGAATAAAAGCAGAATGAAAAAAAAACAACCTGAAAATGCCTACATAATTTTATTTTAAAAACATATAGATTTAATAATGTTGTTACTAATAATAAGTTGGTTATGTTTCAAAGGTGATGTTATTTCATTTTATATAATTACAATAATACAAGAAAAATAGTTTGTAAATCCGAAAAGGAATAAATAAAATATTAAAATTTAAAAAATACGATATCATTAAAGAGAATGTAAATGAAACAGATATTTTATTTATAATTTTCATATACTAAATCCCATAAATTCAGTTGTTGTTCTCCTATAATAAAATAACAGTAAAATATTTTTCCTATGAATTTACTGCTTTTACAAAGTCGTTCACACGCATCGCTGTGCTACGAAGGTGTTATTTCATCCTTCTAAGGAACGGGTGTGGCTGTTTTTTTTTTACCTGCCCGGACCGTGAATTTACGATTTGCGTTCCTTTACTGCAAAAAAAACACGCTCCGCACTTTGTAACTGTGGGTGCGCTCTAAGAGTGACGGTCAAATCTTACTATTCGGCCAGAGAAGAGCAGCTGAAAAGTTATTGGTGAGTACTGTTAACTAGCTGCATTCTAATCTATTGGTTGAAAAGTAATGACCGCTATGCACAGATAACTCTTGTATAGCTCTTCCCGAAAATTCTGAAAAGCAAAGAAATAAACTATCCTTTTATTTAGCTCATTATTCTTAAAATATGTTTCTAGTTCTTTTTCTTACTCGTGGCCACGGTTAATTAGCGATAAGTTTAAAGAATTCCAACGCTAAAATCCGAAGTTTGATTACCTGCGATAGACAGAGTTCAAACAGCTTATTGTGTGATTTCGAGCTAAAACGAACTTTTCTTATTCCCATGCTAAACTAAAATTGACACTGGTTAGCAGTCTGAAAAAAATTGTTCCTGATAATATAATAAATAATGAGACTGATCAGCACTTCAACAATGTTAAAAACTTCAACAACTGTTAACACCTTCTTAAATAAGACAGTTTGTTATATCTCTTAATAATTACTAAATTTTGAAATCACCTGTTAAAACAAAAGTTTAAATTGTGTGTATCTTCAGACTGAACTAGAACCTGTTTCTAATTCAAACTTAGGACTTATTTGTTTCTACTATGAAATATAAGATTTTATCAAACCCTTCTATCATTGTTTACCGATAGACACGACCTCGATTTGATCAAGGCTGCGTTGAATCAATCTTACAAACTTTGATGTGACGTATAAGTAAAAATATTAAATTCGTAGCTAAAGATTAAATCATACATCTCTCTTTATGTGTCAGTTTTCATTTAGAGAGATGATGATGAATAAACATTAAGAAACAAAGATGCTATAGTGATTTAACAACAGAAAGCGATGATAAATCATAAAAAATGGTTTTGTTACTCTTCCGAAATATTTAGTAATGTCTAAAGAAAATGACACCGAATAAACCAACATATATATGTCTATGTGTGTGTGTGTGTGTTTATTATTTTTTTGTGGAAAAAAATCCTCAAATTTTAAAATTTTACAAGAAAAATACTTCTACAAGTGTTGCCCTCTTTAGTTAAAATATTACAAACACTATTACCTGTTTCAGTCTTTGAGGAATTTAACTAAAACATTTTTATTTGAATAAGACACAACTCATAAAACAATATTTTGCGGTTGATACAGTAAAGCCATTTCCGTTTCGATAGGCTTTTTTCCTGTTTATTGGTCTTTCTGTCATTATGGAAGCTATGTGCAGAAAGGCCTGAAGTGATACAATTATGAAACTCTCAGAACAAAATTTTCAAACCTATCTTTCAGACTATCTTGCACAGGCCTAGATAATGACATTTAAATAATAATAATAATTAGCAACTTATAAATAATATTGTCCTTAAGTTCATATGTTTCCTAGCAGGAACGGATTAGCATTAAAGGACCAGCCCGGGCAATATCACATGCTACATACTGGCTAAAAAATTAAAATTTCAAATTAATTTCTAAGAATGCGTCAAATGCACCAGCCCACCGGACAATTATCCGGTAGGGTCATCCGTCCTTGTTTCCTAAATTAAACCAATTAAGGGAAGTTACTGAAGAAATGTACAGTTGACCAAGAAGTGTAGCTCTGGTGCATGACATCTTTCAAAGAATACTTTACATTACGATATATCATTGCGTTTAATATTACACGACGACAATTATTTTGAATGTCATAATTGTATTCATTTTAACTAATTAATTATTGTTATTAATTTACACAATTATGAAGATTATGTTGGATTGTTAACTTAATATACGGATATAGGGCTGATCTAAATTTCCAGAGTAGCTGGATTATTGAGACAACAGTCGAAAGTGTCGTTAATGGTAAGGATATCTGTCTATAAACTCTGCATTTTTATCTTTATAAGAGTTAGTTTTGTTATGTATTGCTTTATGATATTATGTACTTCTTGCCGGATTGTCAGATGAAATTGGTTTCATTTAGTTGTAAGTAACGTTTTTTTAGCTCAAACCTATAACGTTGGCTTACTTTTCGTCAGAGTTATTGATAATTGACGATTCAGTGCTATGTTAGTTATGGATTAGTTAAATTATTGTTCTCTATACTTTACAAACGAAAATTTTCAGTGATTTTGTAATGCTTTTATAATATAATGTTTTAATTTCCTGTTTAGAATATATATATATACACAAAACAGAGTTACGTAACAAAAGATCTCCGGTGAGACTGCGGCAGATCTACGGACTTCCAACACTAAAATTCGAGATTCGATTCCCCGCAATGGACACAAAAGATAGCCTAATGTGGCTTTGCTTTCAAAGAAAGCAAATGTAATAAAATTAATATTTATTTTAGTAAATAAAATATTACGCGCAGTTTACAGATGCGTTTAGAGTCACCAGTTATTTCTTTGTGGCTAGAAACTGGGTTTCGATACCCGTGGTGGGCAGAGCACAGATAGCCCATTGTGCATCTTTGTGCTCAATTCCAAACAAACCAAACCTATTATTTGCTTTGTTTATTTGTTCTATTTGTTTTCTGTTCTTGAGAAAATCTAACTAAGACAATTAATTTAAATCAACTGCTCATGTTAAACTAATGATGATGTTATTATCGATTTTCGTATAATTAATTCGGGATTACTAATAATTAGTTGTACAGAGTACTACATTTCCAAAATAAAAATATTTTCCCATATAAATCAAATTGTTAACTTTAAAAGTTACAGCATTTGTACAGCAAGGATATTAAAGCGGTATGATGAAAAGCCGTATTTTCCTTGGAATTACAGATGAGCCCAACAAAAAAAAATTATCCTTATTAAAAATATATAGACTTTGAGACTACAGGATAACTCCAAATAAAGCAACCGAAACCCTTAAATACCTTTACAGTGGAAGTTTATCGATAAAAGAAGGCATTTCTTGTTTAGTTCCAGATAAACTTTGTCGTTTGAGTGTTTCCTGGATTAGTTTACAAGAGTTCATCCATTTGGGCACATTATATCACACAATGTAAAAAAAAAAAATACGTGCATCTGAGGAGAACAAGCCATTCTATGAACTAAATATAGTCCCAGACCTCTGGTGAAAGTGCATCTTAAAATACATTCCGCAAATTCATGGGGAAGCAGAGGAAACATTTTGACTCACGAAGATTGGTGAAAGTATTACTTTACCAATAAGTTTGTATCTACATAAACGATAAATTATATTGTACAAATAACAATGAAAAGTTTCAATTTATTAATCTGTTGAACTTCTATTTTATGGCTTCCACATAAAACTTGTTTTGTAAGTATCTATTTTAATTATTATCACATTTCTAAAACGTTTCATTCGAAATAAAAAAAAAGGATAATTACTTCTTCTGATCTTTTCTCTCTTTTTGTTGTCCAGAATATCAAACACGTTATCTCGCATGTTGATGATATATGTTAGTATAAGCTTAATGCAATATTAATCCATAGCAAAGCAAAATAAACTAAGGAGTATGTCAGAACGATTCCTTTTGTTTGTTTGTTTGTTTG